CACAAAAAAAGAAATGAAAGTGAGGGTTTATATGTGTTTAGATTTTCTAGTATTTATCTTCCATAGGCAACCAATCCTGGTACTAAGCCTTAGATTATGCCTAGGAGCACCTACTTAAAAGAGTATATTTCTTCAGATAGGACCAAAGGAAAGAGATGTTATAGACCAGTAGAAGAAATGGGCACCTTTTCTACTATGTGTACTCTTAAGTCAACCAACAGTTATTTACTAAAAATGCCAAACTGCTTTTAAAACAGTGGAAGCTGTAGCAGCATTAGCAGTCTGCTGCCTCCCCTTAAGTCTTTTGAAGAAACAAAGTCTGATCAATTAAAATGCATGATGGTGTCACTGTAAATTATGTTAAATATTGCTTGTGCCAAAGCTTTATGCATATTTTATTTTATTTCCAAAATACTTTATGAAACTGGCCACTTGATCATTTTAAAGATGGGAAACTAAGCCACACAGACAAAATAACTTGCTTAGGGTTTGGGCAGAAATGAACCCAGATATTATAACTCTTTTTTTAAAAATTGTTTTGTTAAAAAAAATTACTTTGTTGTGATATGTAAAGTGCTGAAAGACACAGAAATCATACATTTAAAGGGTACAATTTAATAGTTTTTGGTATAGCCACAGAGTTTATAGTCATTACCACAATCTAATTTTGGAACATTTTTCATCACTCCATGCAGAAGCTCCATGCCCAGTAGAAATCAAGTCCCAGCCCCCAAACCCCCAGCCCGAGGCAGTCACTAATCTGCTTTCTGTCTCTGTAGATTTGCCTGTTCATGAAATTATAAAGTATATATTCTCTCACTTTTGCCTTTTTTCACTTAACATAGTATCTTCAAGGTTCACCCATGTTGTATGTTTCAGGATTTTATTCCTTTTTATTGACAAGTAATATTTCATTAGATGGACATATCACATTTTACTTATTCATTGGTTGATGGAGATTTGGGTTATTTTCACGCACAAATAGTGCTGCTATATAAACATTTGTGTAGAAGTATTTGTGCGTATATATGTTTTTATTTCTCCTGGGTATATAGGTCCTATGGTAACCATGTTTAATTGAGGATACCTCTGTGTTTAATCAGTTGAAGAAGTGTCAGACTGTTTTTCCTAAGAGGCTACACCATTTTACATTCCTACCAGCACTGTATTTGGTTTTCAGTTTGTCCTTTCCTTGCCAACACTTGTTATTATCTGTCATTTTAATTACATTCATCCTAGTGGTTATGATGAAATGGTATCTGCTTTTGAGTCTGTTTGTATTTGCCTAGTGACTAATGTTGAGGATCCTTTTATATGTTTATTGGCTATTTATATTCCTTCTTTGGAGAAATGTTTTTTCAAATCATTTTGCCCATTTTTTAAAATTGGGTTGTTTTGTTATTGGCTTATAAAAGTTCTTTACATACTCTGAATACAATTACCTTATCAAATACATAATTTGCGAATATTTTCTTACATTCTGGGTTGCCTTTTCATGTTCTTGATGGTGTACAATTAAGCACAAGAGTTTTTAATTTGGGGGAAGTCCAGCTTACCTCCTTTGTTCTGTCACTTATGTTTGGTGTCATACGAAGAAATCATTATCTAATCCAAAATCACAAAGCTTTACTCCTATGTGTTCTTCTTCTAAGAGGTTTTTTGTTGTTGTTGTTTTTCTTAGATAGCGTCTCACTTTATCACTCCAGATAGAGTGCAGTGGTGTCATAGCTCATAGCAACCTCAAACTCCGGGGCCCAAGCAGTCCTCCTGTCTCAGCCTCCCAAGCACCCAGGACTACAAACACCCACCACACTGCCTGGCTAGTTTTTCTGGGTTTAGTAGAGAGAGGGTCTTGCTCTTGCTTAGGCTGACCTAGAACTCCTGAGCTCAAGCAATCTTCCCACCTCGGCCTCCCAGAGTGCTAGAATTCCAGGTGTCAGCCATGGTGTCCTAAGAGATATTACTTTGCTTTTGTTTTAAAGTTACCCTTTAAATAATAATATCACAGCAGTAAAGATTGCTATTTTTAATTCCTGCTTATTTATTTTATCACAGGTGATCCTTTCAAAGATGATCCTTTTGGGAAAATTGGTCAGTATATTATTGAGTTACATCTTAGCTTTAATTCAATTCTGCTTAATTATAAAGTTATTTTGTATTTAGAAATGAGAGAGATGCTATATGTGCCTGGCATTTTCAGAGAGAAAGTGGTATATTCTTTTGAATTTGCTTAAGAAACTACTTTTGTAAAAATGTTAGTGTTTAGCCTTTTGTGCTTTTAGTAGTATGAGAGTGCCCAATAAATGTACATGCTTTTTAAGAGGAGAAAGCTATCCTGTCCATGCCTGCCACATGGTGATGCTAGCGTTCATGTGATTAGCACCTTCTTTTGAGCAAATGTCATATTACATATTGCTACTGTAATTCAGTTCAGCTTCGAAAGTAATACCCAGATAATAGCTCTTAAAATGTGTATACATTTTTTTGGTACCCCTGGTATTTATTTTGGTTTCTTCTTATTAACTAAAGGCTATGTGACCATAATGATCTGCAGTAGTACAGAGTTTAGAACATTGTTTTGTTTGTTAAAATTACAGCCCATTCAGGTGAATGAGGGAAAAGGAAACCTCGTGAAGAATTATTAAATGTCAGGTTTCTAAAGATATTCCTTCTGTGGTAGTTTTCATTAGAAATAAGCCAATCTTGTTTACTATTCAGTTTTGCTTTCTAAACCTGTTCTAAATTGCTTAGTATAGCTATTGGCTATTACCCATGAGCTCAGAAACAAAAATACATTTAAAAATTTGTTTTATTTAATTATGATAGCATAGAATAAAGAGATATAAAATTGAAATCTTTGCAATTATATGCTAATTTAAAAAATAATTTTATTAGGTAAAAGCTCTGTATCTTTTATCAAAATCACAAAGGAATCTGTTAATTAAGTACCTAACTTAGATTCTGCATAAATTCAAAATATCTTTTAAGGCAGTGATTATGCCTTCAGGTGGTAGAGAATGTAGTGCAATAATTTTTTTAAGTGTCTTGTATTTGTGCTTTATTTTTTTAGATCCATTTGGTGGTGATCCTTTCAAAGGTTCAGATCCGTTTGCATCTGACTGTTTCTTCAGCCAGTCTTCCACTGATCCTTTTGCCACTTCAAGCACTGACCCTTTCAGTGCAGCCAGCAACAGCAGTAATACATCGGTGAGAGGATTAAAAGCTTTTTTTTTGTTGAGCTGTCATTTTGTCACCCTGGGTTGAGTCTCACTCTGTCACCCTGGGTAGAGTGCTGTGGCTTCATAACTCACAGCAACCTCAAACCCTTGGGGCGCAAGTGATCCTCTTGCCTCAGCCTCCCAAGTAGGTGGGACTACAGTTGCTTGTCACAATGCCCAACTTTTTTTCTGTTTTTAGTAGAGACAGGATCTCACTCTTGCTCAGGCTGGTCTCAAACTCCTGAGCTCGAGGTAACCTTCTTCCTTGGCCTCCAGAGTACTAGGATTACAGGCATGAGGCACCATGCCTGGCTGATTAAAAACTGTTAAATGGATAGTAAGTGTCCTAAGTGAGTTTCTTGAAGTATAATGGTCAAAAAATCCTCATTTAGAGAAATTCTACATAGTAATGGTCCACATAAGAATTTGAATCTCATACCATGTCATCTAGTTTTTGGTTCAGACTGGCATTTCATAGTTTGATCACCCATTGGAATTAACCAGAATAACTTATGGTGCTCAAAAGTGAAGTCCATCTTTCAGTGTACCAAATCTTATCCTATTGAGAATATTTAAAATAATCAGAAATCCATAAGCTACTAAAGCTTTTCTGAAACGTTTGGTGCATTATTAAAATAGTGAAAATTACTTTTTAAAAGGAGCAGCAATGATGTCTTAGAAAATAAAATTATTTTGTGTTATTTTGTAGACACATCTGAAATGTTAATCTTATAAAGTATAAATTTCCCTAAATGTCAGACTCTCTTGAGAATGCTGTCTACCCACAATAGCACTCACTATTTAATAACACGATCCTGGTAAATCTGTGTGTTTTACATTCATTGTTTCTAATCTTCACATCCACTTTGTGAAAGTATTGATTTCCCTGTTTTAAAAATAAGGACACTTAGATCCTTTGTATTAACTTGATGGAAGTGGAACATATTATTCTTAGTAAAGAATCACAGGAATGGAGAAGCAATGATCCTAGTACTCCATTCTGATATGAGGACAATTAATGACCTAGTACATGGTGAGGGGTAGGGCTGGGGAGAACAGAGAAAGGGAAGGAGGGAGGAGTAGAGTAAAGGAAGAGCAGAGAAGCAGAAGGAGGGAAGGGGTTGGGGAAGGGAAGAGCAGAGAGGGAAGGAGGAAGGGGAGTGGGGGGGGGGTCACAGTGTGTGACATGCCTTTTGGGGACAGGACACAATTATAAGAGGATCTTTGCCTAACAAATGCAATCAGTGTAACCTGGTTCTTTGTACCCTCAATGAATCCCCAACAATAAAAGAAATAAATAAAAATAAAGACACTTCTGGACATGGTGGCTTATGCCAGAATCCTAACACTCTGGGAGGCTGAGGAAGGAAGATCCCTTGAGCCTAGGAATTTGAGATCAGCCAGAGCAAGAGTGAGACCCCCATCTCTACTAAAAATAGAAAAAATTAGCTGGATATTATGGTGGGCACCTGTAGTCCAAGCTACCTCCTAGGCAGGAGGATCACTTGAGGTTGCTGTGAGTAGGGTGATGCTATTGCACTCTAGCCTGGGCCACAGAGTGAAACTTTGTCTCTAAAAAAAAGGTAGGGGGATTAGAACTCAGGAAAATTAATTTACATGCTCGAGATCATATAGCTAAGTTATTTATCATCTGGAGGCTTTTAAAAAAATCTTTATTATGGATATTTAAAAATACTCAAAACAGAGTAATGTAATGACATATTTTAACAAACCTCCATGTATCCAAGATCCAATTTCATTAATTAAGAATGGTTTTGGGCTCAGTGCCCTGTGGCTCAAGTG